AGTTGGCGAAGGGCCTCAGGTACAGCTTGGAAACGGAGAGACGTCTGGAGGAACGAAAAGAGAAGACTACGGAACAGGGGGGCACGACAGAGTGGCGGAAAGGCACAGGAAAAGAACAGGGGGAAAAGATGGGACAGAGACGGGAGCTGACTGAGGAACTGACTTTCGCTAGGTTCGAGAGCAGGGATTGCAGGAGAACAAAAATAGTATGTGAATACTGAAGAGAGCCGAGCTATCGCGCCTCTGTTAACTTCCCAGACTTCCCACAATAAACGTTCCACAGCAGGCAGTGTTTGCATCGCACGCCAGGCAGCAGCCGCGCGCCGTCCTTCTTTTTTGGAAAGGAAGAGGAGCTTGGAAACTTTGAGGCGAAGAAACTTTGGAGAACGGAAAGAAAAGACAAGAGAAAGAAAACGCACGACAGAGGAGCCTTCTTGCCGCTTCTCGCCCTTTAATTCGCTTTCCCTTTCTCGTTTCTCAACCACATCGAACTGAAATGCCGCTGCGGGCTCGTGTCTCAGGCTTTCCGCTGTCAACGAATGGCTGGAACGCCGCAGCAGTGCTGTCATATTGAAGCCGGGCGACAACCAAGAACGGTCTGCTGCCACCGGGCTACAGAATAACTGGCGGTGGTGGAGAGAACATCGGCTGGGCGCAGGCCGTGAATATCCCAGGCCTCTGCATGAACCTGAAGAGCGTGATGGAATGCCAGGCACGAAGCCAGGGACGTTGCTGGGGGTTATCAGTCATTGTGTCATCGGTCGAGTGGCCCTGAAACGCACGCAGCTGCTCAGGCTGCCCTCTCGCCTGGCAGAATTCGGTCATTGTTTCCACGAACAAAACGCGCACCGCAGCGCTCCATATGGCAGGAACAACTTGCCATCCGCTGTACCCATCAGGAGAGGCCGTGCAAGGACAGTCGCAAACTTCCCTTCCACATCGCGGCGGCCGAGGAAGGCCAGCGGTTCCCTTGAAGACAGGTGTTACCGTGTTGACCTGAATTTGTCGCTCGTGGCGCCGCCCTCCACTTGCTCCGAGTCGTTTGGCATGGCACGTCGCCTGCCTGTCGGATAGCATCAGCGAAGGGCGGGTATCGCTCGGGCCGTTCCTTCCAACATTCACGCCTTTGTATGCGTGCTGGCGCCATGCCGCCGAGTATGCATCGTTGCGCAAGATGTGCAGTAATAAAGTTGCACCGATCCAGGTGTCAGCTAATCTGGGTTGACATCTTATCTCAGCCATCGTGTCACGCACGTCGAAACGGCACCGCAATATGTCATCCAGCTCCAAGTTTGGTTCGCGCGTGGGACGCGTTTCGCGATAATGATTTCAATTATTTCGGCAGCCCGGCATATCTGGTGCAGATTATGGAATTCGAAAGTCGTTCGTAAGATATTCGCCTACGCGCTGCCTGGACACGAGGTTGTGTAGTAGATAGCGCGATATAGCCTGGTTGGCGGTACGTGTCTATAAATAACCAGCCTTTTACGGTTTAAAACAACACCGGCGAGCGAGCCAGAATTAGAGCTCATACGCCCGTCAAAGGAGCGCAGTGGGTGAATAAGCAAAGCTCCGAATATTAACGTTCAACACCTTTTTTATCCTGCTTTTGTAGCTCGCTGTACTGCAGTCATTGGATGCTTCGGCCGTAACCCATGAGAGATCAAAGGTGCACGCAGGTAAGAGTTTTTGGAGGGGAAAGGATAGAATCACTGACGACCTCGCCCCGCAGCCATCTATGCGTTTGTATCTCACTATTTTGACTACCTTCACTGCGAATGTCCTCTGAGCGTTCATTTTGGTTTGTTCACGCGCCACATATGTATACATCTCCCCACCTATCTACCACCACCTGCACCTGCAATGCCTATCATAGATTGCAGTGATTGTTGCAGCCAGCGCTGGCTATCCCCGTCCTCCAATTAGCACCTCAGCTGCCCCCAACGGGATCTGAGTGACAATTACCGCACACGAACCGTGCAAACGAACAATCTAACGATGCACAGCATCGAAGCGGCTGCTGCTATTGTTTGTTTGACCACTGCTGTAGGTATGGCCACACACACACACACACACACACACACACACACACACACACACACACACACACACACACACACTATATATATATATATATATATATATATATATATATATATATATATATATATATATATATGTGTGGTGTGTGTGTGTGTGTGTGTGTGTGTGTTGTGTGTGTGTGTGTGTGCACATGTGTGCGGTGTGCGGTTATATATATATATATATATATATATATATATATATATATATAGTGTGTGTGTGTGTGATGTGTGTGTGTGTGTGTGTGTGTGTGTGTGTGTGTGTGTGTGTGTGTGTGTGTGTGTGGTGTGTGTGTGTGGTGTGTGTGTGTGTGTGTGGTGTCTGTGTGTTTGTTGTGTGGTCTGTGTGCATGTACGTGTACGTTATCAGGATTTCTCGATTGCCATCTGCGAGGCTTGGGAATGGCCTCAAGAATCAACGTCAAAAGGTCGTGATTCGACACTTTCGTCCGACGTGGCCTGTCACAGCGGCGCAGCATCACGATGCAGTGAAGTGGCGTGTGCTGCCGTGTTGCTGTGGTCTGTGCCAGGTCAGTCCCAAGCCACCCCATGGGACATGGACCGACTTGCGCCCGGGATGGGCATGACAACGTGTGTGAGCTGTTGCCCGTGTTGATCTGTGCTGCACCATAGCCAGTTACCTTTCGTGACATGTTGACCCACGTGACCTGTGTCACGTGACCTGTGTCACGTAACCTGTGTCACGTGACCTGTGTCACGTGTGGTGATATGGGGTGAAATGTGGTCTGCGGTGGTACCTCATCTCACGTCAATGACCTGAAGCATCGCCGTGGCTGACAGTGCACCGTGACCCGATATCCAGCCAGTGGCTGACATCTTGCAGCCTGAAATCGGGCTAGAGCTCAACACCTCGATGAAATCGGAAGTCTTATCGTAGCCAAATACCCTGTCGTTGCCTTCCATCCTATCGTCATTTGGTACCGAGACATGATGCCAGCGCCCGTGACGTTGTGCCAGAACATGACACTCAATCATTACCTGACAGCCCTCCACAACACCTGCCAGGGTCCGACGTCTTGTCTCATTTGACCCCATCCTGCGACTCAACGACCCATCATAACCTAACACCCTGACACGACCCGAGGTCGTGTTTCAGTCTGACACCATGTTGCGACCCCCAGCACACCATGACCCGACCCCCGGTGGAGAGCTCCGCCCCCGCACCGAGTCAGGGCCTGCGACTGCGCGCGCTGTGGCCGCCCCCGCCCGGCGCGACGACACAGGTGTCCGCGGGCCCGGCGGCCGGAATGCTAATGTGGTCCTGGCGTGACTGAGACGCCCTGGACAGCATTCTTGCGGTAGATAGAACGCCTGTCGTGCGCCCGCCGAGGAGGCCGAGAGCGGGACGCACGCACGCAGAGATGACATCTGAAGCAAGTCTGGTGGCGGCAGGTCGAGGTCGAGGTGGTCTGGTCGAGCAGGTCTGGAGGCGCCGAGGCGGGGACGCCTGGCGGTGGGCAGGCTACCAGGGACATCCTCTAAAGGAGCAGGCCTTAGGCGTCTCACCCCCGCCCCGCGACACGCAGATGAATGCGGAGCCGCTGAGGACGGACGCGGGCGCATCCGTCGGCAGGAGCGACGCCTTTGCCGGTACTGCGATGCAGCTTCCCCATTTGGGGCTCTGCACCCGATGGCCAACGCGATGCGGCGCTGTTTTGACGGTGTTGGGTCGGTAGCTGCTTATCGTGCCCGCTCGTCAAGCGGCCGTCTTCACCCCGAGCCCGGTGACACGCTGGGGTTGCGTCAGATTTGTCCCTCGCTCCGCTGCCCGAGCGGTGTCGTGACACTAGCCTTGAATTTGCGGTGCCGTGAGATCACGTGTAACAGCGCGTCCTTTGCAGCGCCTGAAGTGTACCAGGTGCTGTGTGGGGCGTCCCAGGCGGAGCTGAGGCTGTCTCAGCGACCGTCGCTGCGGTTGACACCGGAGCCGGGCGGAATGTCCCGGACGGGTGAGACCTGGCCTGACTTCCTCGCAGTGAAGCCGGCCTACCTTGGGAACCGCCGCCGCGGTACTGACGTAATCCGAGGAAATCGCGCACATGATGTATGTGAGCGCATTACAAGGTGGCATTTTTGCGACTCGACTGATATAGACATTAGACCTGTCCGGTCTGGTGCACAACCGAACCACTCGAGAGCGGTTTTTTGAGGTGGGCTGGGCCAGTGGGTCAAAGTTTTCTGCTCGGGTAGCCGTGCAAAATGCGGCAGATCAATTAGAAGTAGTGGAAAAGACTGGGCAAAAACAAGTGGGACGTGACAAGCGGTACAAGGGACCACCCTGCGCCCGCTCGTTCGCTATCTGGCCACCTTGATGAAACGCCTGCCAGCTGGGCAAAAACTGGTGCAATTTGTCCCACCTGCCGCTGATTGATGTCGAGAGAGCTGATTCCTACCCTATCGCGGGACACTCACTCTTTGTATGCGGCTGCGTATGAGGCCATCTCCACAGGCATCTGTTGTCGCGCCGTCTGCTGACTCTGCTGCACGTGCTGCTGCTGCTGCTGGTGCTGCTGGAGGTGGTGCTGCTGCTGGGCCGACAGCTGCGTCTGGTACACGTCCGGGCGCCGCTCCAGCGTCGACGGACGGGTCGAGCCCAGCGACGAGCCCGGGTAGGGACCGCCGTAGCCCATGGCGCCGCTGTTGAGGTGCGCCAGCTTGCTGAGCGAGCTCATCTGGCCAAGCTTGAGGCTGGGAGGCGTCTGCGGCGGGGTGTCGGTCGGCGCGTCGCTGTACGAGCCGCCGGCGGCCGGCAGGCTGGGCGGCGGCGGCGCTACCATGCCGCCGTAGCCGCCGCCGCCGGCCGCCGCGCTGGCGTAGCCTCCGCCTCCGCCTCCGCCGCCGCCGCTGCCTGAGCTGTGGTGGTAGGCGGCCGAGGCGGCGGCGACCGGCGACGCCTGCGCCTGCGCCTGCGCCTGCGCCTGGTGCGAGTAGCGGGAGAAGGGCGCGGCGCCGGGCGCGATGGTGGGCGGCAGCGGGAAGGTGGTGGCTGCGGTGTGTGCCGGCAGCCGCTCGGCCGGCCAGCCGTGGCCCGGCGGCGGCGGCGGCGTCTTGCAGACGGCCGTATCGGCCAGCGACCAGATCTTGGGCTTCTGCGGGTCGCTGCAGTCGTCGAGCGGCTTGTCCTTCCAGTCGCCGCCCGGCGAGAGCGTCTCCGACTTGACCTCGGCCCGGGCCAGCGGCGACAAGCCTTCGCTCGCGGCGTTGCTCAGCGGCGACTCTGGAATGGTGACGATGCGACATGAATATCCCGATCAGTTACGCGATTAGATAAGTTACGAGTTTTGAGCAACTAGCTGCAAGCTATTGCGAATTTTATGTGTGTGGACTGCGCGCTGTATTAGTTACCAAAACGGTGGGTTTTCTTATAGTCTGATACGTTTTGGGCTACTTGGATAATACAGCGTGCCTTTTTCTGAGGGGATCGAAAACATATCAATGATGTCAAAGTTGTTATGATACTCTTAAACGAAACACATTTGGGGTGCAAAACATCGAGCGCATGACATCAAATGAATAAACTGAATTGATAGATAATTGATCAACGATGCATTGAAAAATCCAACAGAAGAAATGAAATGCAAAGTTAGCGCACCGCAAGAACCAAGCATTTTACAGCGCCTTCACGAAAGTCATGCAAACCAACGGCCCAATGTGAGGCGGCTGGCGAATGCGAGGAAGGCAGCATCAACTTGGCGGCGTGCGGATCTCATGCCCGTCTCACTTGGGCGAAAGGCCGGTCCTAATTGATGGACCGAACCTGTCATGGTCTGACCTTTTTCACCGTCCGTTTCGTCCTTGTCCGTCTTGTCCTTCTCCGCGGCATTGTCGTCCGCCTCCTCGTCCGACTCCGTCTTGTTCTTCGGCTCCCAGGTCATCTTGTTCTCCTTCTTCAGTCTTCGCCGGGCGTTGGCGAACCACGTGGAGACCTGCGTCAGCGTCATCTTGGTGATGATGGCCAGCATGATCTTCTCGCCCTTGGTCGGGTACGGGTTCTTCTTGTGCTCGTTCAGCCACGCCTTCAGCGTGCCCGTGGACTCGCGAGTGGCGTTCTTCCTTCTCGCCGCCAGATCGTAGGGCGCACCGTACCTGCGGCAGGGAGGACAGACTAGTGAGGTGTTTCGTGAGGGCGCCTTATGTGAACAGGTGATACAACAGCGGTGATCAAGACGGAACCGTATCTACGGTACATAATGCCCCTTCTCACGATGTGAAGTGAGCTAATGAAACGCGATTCCAGACGTTGATTCCCCTGAGAATAACACTGCACAGCCCTACAACGTTCCTCTCGTGACTGCAGGCGGGACGACGAGGCTGAATTGGCTGCAGTTGACGAGATACATTTGTATGCTAATCAGTAATTAGCGTCTTGCAATTGCGTCTGCCGCAAAACAGTTAAATGTCTTTTAGCAGTCAGCTTCATCATCGTGTGCATCACACACCATGTTGTGCATTGCCTGCTGCCGTATCAGGCTGACTACTTATGAAACTCTATTGGGTGGGCTTCTCTTTTTTCTCAGTTGACATGTATGAAGCCTGTTTGAGCGTAATTCGGCAAACGTTCACCACCCGGCCCGTCCAGTCACCCAGTCCAGCCCTCTGGCTGAAGCCCGGTGGGGTGTAGATCAGCACACACCTGCTGCCCACCCTTTCCAGCCACCCAGTCCAGCTCTCTGACTGAATCCCGGTGGGGTGTGGATCAGCATACGCCTGCTGCCCACCCCTCTCAGCCACCCGGTCCAGCCCTCTGACTGAAGCCCGGTGGGGTGTAGATCAGCACACGCCTGCTGCCCACCCCTCTCAGCCACCCGGTCCTGCCCTCTGACTGAAGCCCGGTAGGGTGTAGATCAGCGCACGGCTGCTGCCCACCCCTCCCAGCCACTCAGTCCTGCCCTCTGACTGAAGCCCGGTGGGGTGTAGATCAGCGCACGGCTGCTGCCCACCCCTCCCAGCCACCCAGTCCTGCCCTCTGACTGAAGCCCGGTGGGGTGTATATCAGCGCACGCCTGCTGCCCACCCCTCTCAGCCGTTCGTCACCGCCGGCTTATCTGGCCGACGGAGGTCCCGCTGCTTGGTTTATGCACGCGCCAGCCGGGGCCGACATATCGCGTGAGATCAGGCTCAATTATGGGCCGTAAATCCGAGCTCTACCGGCTGGCGCAGCTCTGGTGTGCGTCATGTCCGAATCCGACCAGGAATCCGGCCCGGACACTGGACAGCGGAGAGTCCGGAGTCCGGACGGGGGAGGTTTGGGCAGGCGGATGCCCGGGCTGGGCAGGGTTGTCCGGCGAGTCCAGCCGGGCCAGAACGGGAATCCGACCCAAGCAGTGCCGGACAGTCCGAAGTCCGCATGATTAAGGTCATGCAGGCGGGAGCCCGGCGGGTCCGGGCAAGGCAAGAATCCGACCTAGCCGGGCCCGGTCCAGTGGGGATGAGACCAGACCGGATTTCAGCCCGCCGGAAATGGATTCGGGGTGCGTTAGAAGTTGGCATCCGAGGAGAAGCAGCCGGGGCCTGTTTGTTCCAAATGCAGTACTCAGAAATGCATTCGAATGCTCACAACTCACTTTAGAATGTCGATGATCCATGTTATGAGTCTAGTTTCTGCCGCACTGCTGCATACCATTCTTACCCCGACACCTTTCAGACCTTAGATGCTGCTCGCGTCGTGCAGATCCGCCCGACTTGCGCTCCCCTCTGGCGTGAAGCCGCGTGAGACGCCGTGACCCAAGTTTCCCAGACCGGAGGCGACGCCGGTGGCCGTGACCCTCCCGAGCTGTCCCGACGCGGGTCCCTGGCGATCTGAGTCGCCTCTAATGAAGCGGGCCATCCCTGCACGGCGATCCATCGCGGGAGCTAATCCACCGTGCCCGGCCGGCGACGAGCTGGCGTTAATCAGACGGGGAGGAACTGTGACGGCCGGCCCGGCCGCCACCCCGGGCGGGAGGCCGGGAGGCCGGGAGGCAGCGGCGCTCCCGTCGCTCAGCTGGGTGCTGTCACTCGGCTGGTGGCTCGGCAGGCCTCCCGCGCTAACCGGCGCTGGCTGGCCGCCGCCCGGCTGACCACTGCTGGCTGACAGCTGTTGGCTGGTTGGCCTGGCCGCTAGCGAGCTCGCCGCTGAGTCGGCCGTTGCTGGTTGGCTAGCGGCTGGGTGGCCGTCGGTTGGCTGGTCACCCGCTGCCGGAACTCTAGCTGGGTAGAGGTTTTCTGGCTTGCTCACTGCCGCTAAAAGACTTCCGGCTGTCTGCCGCCGCTGGCCGACAGCTGAGTGCTTCATCACTGCTGCCTAGTCGCTGGTCGGCGGACCACTATTTGGGGGCCTCTGCCGGATATCGGTCGGACATTTCATCCACGGCATGTCTAACCGCCCAGCCTCTTCAAGCGGTGTACTTTCTGGAGGAGCACAGTCCGATGGAGGCGGGAGATCAAGCATGACCATCTTCATGCCGCAGAAGGCAAACGACGCAATCACCCGGCTGTGCTTAATAACGGACAAACATCATCCGCCCCACAGTTGCCGCTGGTCAACTGCCGCTTCCCGACGTCCATCCACGACCGATCTCCTCCAGGATCTAGCTCATCTCAACCACTTTTAGGCCCAGCACGCTTTTCCTTCGCGCGGCCTCATTGCGTCTATAAATAAGCCCCACGCTTTGTCATTCAGACAGTTACAGATGGCCGCTCGAGACGATAAGCGTCTGCACCTCGGCCACGGCCGGTACATGAACTCATATCGGTTGCAGGACGAAGTGACGCCCTCGTGCGCTGTGCCCCGGAAGCCGTTCGGCGATTCTGTCAATCAGCTGTGCCCCGGCCGTGAACCGAGTTCCATAGACGGGGTGGTGGCGGAGTCGAACATCCATCACTGTCGCGGGGACTGATAGTCCACTTCGCTGTAAGAGCGCACGGGGTCCATTAGAAAGGAGTGGATCTTTGTGGTAAACTATGCGTCGACGTCGATACAGTCGTCCGTCCTGTTTTGCAAGTTGCAGTCAGTGCGGAGGAATGTGGCAGAAATTTGAAAGGAAATTCATGCGGATAGTTGCAAAAAAGCCAAGTCGCGAAATGGAGCCCCATCGGCAATGGGAAGAGAAGGACACGTATGAGATCTCCACGAAGTCTGCTTAAAAAAGAAGTCACTGGCCCTCGACTTATCATTTCAACCAGGAGGGATGGCGTTGTACCGAAGAGATCCCTGTGTTCAGAGCCGGACCAGGTCGTGACGCTGGCAAGGTTGAACCCGCATTGAATGGCCCGGTTCCTTCCCACCGCGCTCTCGTCAATCATGCTCATCCTCGGCACACAAGAAGTCGACAGTTATATCATTCCCGTGGACATAAGTTGGATTTTATTAGTTCTATTAGGCTGACGGTTGGCGCCTGGCTGGCGGGGGCGACCGGCGAAAAAGCGATCCGTCCAGTCCACTCAGGGGCGGGGTAAAAACTGGCTGGAGCGGACGGACGACGCTGGACACGGCCGGACCGGGGTCGGCTGAAGAGGCGGCGGCGCTGAGAGGGCGCCCGGCCGGCCACTGAGCCGACGCCTGCTGGCGACCGCCCGGCGCCGGCCGGCGGATCTCAGACATGTTTGGTGCCAGTTGCGTGGAAGTCAGGACGCTGGCGAGGTTCTCGTCTAGAAGGGCAGCTGGCAGTGTACTTGACGTCGTAGATATGGAGTTAGCTTATCGCATTTGGTTCAGCGAGCCACTGTAAACCGCTAAACAAGAGAACAGGACGGATGCGCGGGATCTACTGTCACGTCTCGGGGATTTTATCTGCCTTTAGCATCTTCGCTCTTCACAGAAAACTTAACTCCGGGCATTCTCCCTCACAGTTCAGCATTCGAGCCAGCATGTTTCGCAGGGCCGTCTGCAGTCAACGAGGCTTAAACAAAATGGCAGCACATTATTGCTTTTGTATCTCGCATTACCTGCGACCATTTGCAAGTAATGCCATCAATAAATCTCTTCAGGAATCGCCGCAAAGGAAGCGTCCTGTCCGGAAACGCCGTGCATAAGGCGACCGCAAGCATGCCGTTTGCATTTCAACCGCCAGGCCGTCGCGGCGCTGAGAATTTCGCTCACCACTAAGCCTCCTCAAGCACCTCTCAACATTATCAGCACGCGCTCCACCAGCCCATGACATTTATTCGCCCGTCAACTGCACCACGAGCGCGTCAATGACGGTCATCGCCATCAAGACGCGCCATCGCAGATCGACCGTCGCTCCGTCGGCGGCGACGCAGCGTCGGCATCGGCGCTCGATGACCGGCCGTGCCGACCCTGCCGCCGACTGATGTCGTCCCTGCGTGACGACCGGCGCCACATGTCTGCCAGCATGCAGCGTCGGTCGCGCCGCCTCCCCATGTGCCAAACAACTTTATGTAATAAATGTAATACTAATTTGTCGGGGCTGCGCCAAACACTTCACGTGCGGTGATCACACTGCAATAAAACCGGCCGTAAAGAGCGGACGGTGTAGTTTTGAGGTAATTAGGAGCCGTTAAGCGTGCTGGCACGTTAGCAGCGGCCGGCACGACCGCTGCCAGCACGGTCGGTGGCCGGCGAGCTGGCAATGTCGGCAGCCGTCTGGCAGGCAATCGAGCTCTGGATGGAGCGCCGCTGGCCGTTTCATGAGCTGCTGCTGTGTTCAATTAGCAGTCGTCTTGTTTTGGAAATGTCAACTTGTTCGCTGCTGTTTTCCGGACTTCTTGGGTTTCGGTTATTTGCGAGATGAGTGCATCTGTTCCCTGCTTATTAGATTAGCATCAGTTGGCTGTTTTCTTCATCATTCAGCCGATTGGGCACCAGGCCGTCTGCCGGTCACTCCGCCTTTGCAATCCTGCAATCCATGACGCGCTCATCACGGGTCCCTCCTTCCTCAGTCCGAGCCCCCTCAGTCTGCTGCTCAGTCCCATCATCCAGCCTTTAGCCCCCATTGCCCGAACGCCAGCTTTCAGTCCCCAGTCTCCCAGTCCCCAGTCTCCCAGTCCTCAGTCCCTAGTCCCTAGTCCCCAGTCCCCAGTCCCCAGTCCCCATCCCTGCAGTCCCTGCAGTTCTCCATCTCCGCCCTCGGGCCGGCTTCATGTCTGGCGATCATTGGCGTGCCGCACCACAATTACGTCCCATTTGGCCGACATAGCTCAACATCCATTGCGGACGGACGGAACAAAACGCCGGCCGGCCCGGCCGCCATAGCTGTTTGCCCTGGGGCTGACCGTGCAGCGAGCGGAGCGGGGCAGTCGGGCGCAACGGGGCAGGGCTTCACAGCTGACGACCAGGAGGGAGGGGCAGTGGGGAAGGGGCGGGGGGGGGGAACAGGACAGCGCGCAGAGCTTGGAAATCAGTGGGTATCTGTGGTTGTCCATGGTGCGGCAGAGGGGTAAGATGGGAGGAGGTTGCTTGTGAGGCATGGAGACCTGGACGGTGTGGAAGCAGATGTGAGGGGGATGGGGACGAGGGAGCATGGCGCGAGCCGGAGCGAAAAATGCAGCATGACATGCGGGGCAGTGACCACGCAAACTTTCCTCAAAAAGGCACAATTTTAGCTTTTCTTGACTGAGACAGGTTTACTCCAACGCATTGGCCAGCCAGATACTCGCATCTCTTTCCATTTGGGACATGGATGGTGACAGGAACTCCTCGAGAAATACCAGTGGAAAAGGTTGGCATAAGGGGAGAGTGAGGTGGGCTATGGAGAGCACGCCTGGTCTCTTGTATATATATATATATATATATATATATATATATATATATATATATATATATATATGTGCGTGTGTAAATATTAACCAGGCTTTCAGTTATTTGCGAACCTTCTTAACAGGTCTCCATTGCTTAAAGTAAACCAGCGTTACCCAGCTCAGGCTAGGGCGGGTCCGTCACAAAATCTTCACCTCCGAGCTAACGCATGTCCGACACCCTCCAGCTGTTGTGGCAGACGCCGCGACCGAGAGTTGCGTGGCGCAGAAGCCGTAATGCAATGTCTGCCACGCCGCGGCCGACAAATTGGATACACAGCGGCCGGCGGGGCTTCTCGGCGGCGTTCGGTAACCAAACCCTACGTCACGCACTGCTGCAGCGGCGGCCAACACAGACAAGCTCTGGTCGGGGGCGTGCCCGATCGGCCTGCCCTGGTCGGCTGCAGGGCTCAAGGCGATGCCGTAAACACCGCACGATCGGCTGGAGTTGATGGATGGACCCTGTAATACCTTCTTCAAAGTTCCGCTGCTGGTGGCTTAGAGCGCAGTGATTGCAACGTTAGATGCATTGGTCGGCATAACCGGAATGTTTGACGTGCTCGGCCCGCACCGTCCGCCGTCGTTTGGCTGTCATTGTTTCCAGCGGTGGTCAATGGAAATGGCTCTCTTGACGTGCCACGCTTCCAGGGCGGCCTGGCTTCGAATGACAGCTAGAAAATAATAGTTGAGTGGTGCGCACTCAGCTTAAAGCATGAACACAGCGTACCTCCCGAGCGATTGAAGGTAAGATAGGTTAGAGTAGCAAAGCTGCCCGAACGAAAGAAGCTTCGTTCGAACGAGATATTTCATGAAAAAGTAGTACAATTTTTGCCTTCAGTTGGGGCTTATTGGATTCTTCATACGCGTACGATACGACGCTTGCTACTTGTTCTGCGCTCATTTTGCAAAAGGAGACAACATTTGATATTTTTCACATTGACATATTTCGAAACAGTATGGCGTGCCCCTGCTCCAGCGTTCGCCCGGGCTTCCTTGTGGCGACAGCCCCATCGGCACCTGCCGGAAGCGCCCAGCAGCTCCGCGGCCGTCCATAATCAACTTATTAACCGAGAGGCGCCGGCGCAGATTACGCCGGTCTGCGCGAGCGCCGCCGCCGCCGCCGGCCGGCGCCTCTGAGTGGATTACGAAGCGGCGACGGCGGCCGCTCGGGCGCCGCCATCCACAAAAACGCCGCCCGCCGCGGCCCTTCCGGCGGGCCGGCCGGCCGTCACCGCCCCGTGTGAATCGATGCTGGCGCCGCCGAAGGCATGGCCGACTCCTCACGGGCAGGTGAAGATGAATGGAGCAAATCAGGCGGACGGGCCGGTCGGCGGCGGGGTCGACTCCGGGCGAGTGGAACAGACGGCGCCCGCTGGACGACAGGCTAGGGCTTAGCGGTGTTGTGTCGCGTGCCGGCCGCTCAGAGGCGAGTAATTAACTGGTTAAATGGGCACGTAACGGCCCGGAGTCATGGCGGTTGTCATAGGCCTTTCAAGGATAAATGCAGGAATGTCGCGTTCTCAGACGGCAGGTATCTGACTCCACACCTTCATGGAAGCGTCAGTAAGCTCTTCAAGGCGAACTCAAGAGAACAAGCTAGTATCCAACCAGTAAACGCACAGGCACATGCACTGTATCACGCAACACAGGTCCAGTCTCTCCCATCACTAAACCGTATGACAATGGTCACTGACTGACGCTGGGCGGCTGTCCACAGCTTCTTCCCAAAGGTGGTAAAAAACGAGCTTTCTCCTCCCTAAGCCTGGTTATCGGTTCATTGGCGTATAATTTGCGACAGAACCCCACAGATTCGATGTCGGCTCCACCCCTGATATTGCTCGCGCGGGGTCGGCGCCGACGCCCCGTCTGCTGCCGATAATGCGGCACAGATGCGGCTGCCACCCGGGGTCGTAAGTTCACCTGAGCGTCGTCGCTCGACGTCGAACACTTGCCGAGCATGCCCACGCGCGCCGGTGCCGGCGTCGGCGCCGGCGCCGGTTCATTAGCGCCTCGGCGTCGGCCAGTCGCGGCCGACGCGTCGGGAATTAATTAACGTCAGCGGGCCCGCGCGGCCCGGCAGATGTCGGAGAGGGTGAGAGGGGTTTCTCGGCAGATGTCGGAGAGGGTGAGAGGGGACTCTCACCCTCTCCGAGAGGTGTGGGGAGAGGGGTGGGGGGGAAGTTAGAGAGGAAGGGAGATAGGATAGAGACAAAGAGAGAGAGAGAGAAAGAGAGAGCGGGAGAGAGGGGAGGAGAAAAGGGGAGAGGAGGAGAGAGAGGAGAGAAGGAGAGTGGATGATGGAGGCTTCCTGGCTCTCTCTCTCCCCCTCGATTCCCTCTCTCTCTCTCTCTCTCTCTCTCTCTCTCTCTCTCTCCTCTCTCTCTCTCTCTCTCTCTCTCTCTCTGCACGATAGGGATGGAAGGAGGAACAGAGAAATGGAGCAACGAAGAGAAAGGGAGAAAGAGAGAACAGATGGAGATCGGGAAAGTGGGAGACATAAGAAAGAGAGCAATAAGAGAGTGGAAAGATAAGGTGAAGACAGAGACGAAAAGGGTTTATTGGATAGTTGATGTTAAAAGCAGCGAGAAAGAGACGGATGGAAATGATCGAATAGTTTGAGAACCGTTCTCAAACAAGAAAGAAGCAAGCAACTGGAAAAAAGAAGTGAATAACCAGTCTACCTCATGCACTTATCAGAATTAATAGGATAATAATTGGAACCTTAAAGGACGTCACATTCGCAGGGCGACACCATTCTGATCCACAAGTAGAGAACGAAAACACTGCCTGTTTGTCAAATGCAGCCTATTCACAAACATGCAACGTCCCTGAACGGGGCCCGATCAAAGCCGAGATAAGCTAAAATAAGCAAAAACTACAGCATCACTAACTAGCTTTGGAAACGGCACACTGCGAGCCACGGTGGACGGGGTGGGTGGGACCTAAAGCAGGGCCACAAGGCCCGCGCCTGCTAACTCACAGCCGCAGGCGACAGCGGCGGCCGGCTCCGTGCCTGACTTAGTCATTTTGCTGCAGCCTCAGTAGCAGCACATGCTGTCCTAGTACACGTGGGTAATGCCCGCCAATTTGTCTCTAGCATTAACTGAAACAGCACCCAAAGCTGACAAAACGCCACCCAAAGCTGACAAAGACCGTGTGGCTGGGCCCCAGCCCCAGCTCCCCCGCCCCCCCCCCCCCTCTCCCCTTTGCGCCGGGTCAGATTCCCCGCTCAGTCAGCCCCGTTGCTTCAGCATTTGCCTGGCGCCCCAGCCAGGTTCGTGCCACGGCCTCATTTGCAATGTAAATTTGTCATTGTTGCAATGGCCGTGGCTTGGGGTCTTGATGACGTACTAAATTAGATTTACTGCGCTCGCGCGGTGGCGGCGCGCCGCTATGGGCGGCCAGCACCACCCTCCCTGGACTCCCGTGGGTCGTGCACCCTCCCCCACACGCCTGCACAGCGGGAGAAGCCGTCATGTGCTCGTGCCACGAGAGCGGGGAGCACGGAATGGGCGGAGGCGCTGCAGTGGTGCACAGTGGTCTAATATACGCCAATAAACGCTTGATGTGCAATCGGCGGAATTAGCCGAGATGGCCAGGGGCCGGTTTAGAGCGTCGCTCATGCAGTCGTGCGGGCAGTCGGCACACGACCAGGTCAAGCGGCTCGAGGAAGAGCGGCGCTCCGACCGCTTCAAGCACCCGTATCGAACTGAGCCGCTGTGAATAATTCACAGGCTTCGTGCACTCCGCAAAAGTGTGCTAATTGTGCTGCCGTAAAACCATTAGTGAATAAGTGATTGCAATTAGTGTCGCCCAGGAAGGCAGCCAGCTTCTGCCGCTGCAGGTCAGTGCTCGTAATTATCGTGGTCCACCTCACAGACGCTGTCCCCGCACGGGGTCCAATCCGCCCCAAACATACCACCACACTGTCCTATAATGGCCCCCGGGGTTGAGTCGTTGTGTCTGTTATGTGGCCGGAACTCCGTGTTGAGCCGTGTTGACGATTTGTCGGTGCACTTGGCTATGTCGCAATTGCGAGGTATGTGGTGAAAAACACGTTAAACCGAGGCCCTCGTCCACATAGCGCACGCTCATTGAGGGCGTTCCAGCGGCGCCACTGTACCGCGCACGTGCCGTCCTGGCGTGCTCACCCGTACAGCGAGGGGTCGTAGGGGCTGTAGCCGTAGCCGGCCGTGCCGCCGAGGCCGCCATAGACGCCCATGTCTGCTCCGCTCGACTCCTTCAGGCCGTACGGCGTGCCCTGCAGGACAGAGCGACGGCACGCGTCACGGATGGGGCAGAGAAGTAGCGCACGTCAAAGGTGGGGCTGAGAGGTGGCGCACGTCACCGTTTTAGGAGGAAAGTGGCGCACAGAAAGAAGCGAAGAAGGGGCTCATGTCACAGATAGACCGGATAAGTCGCGGACGTCACGGATGAAACAGAGAAGCGATGGCGCGGGCGGAATCGACAAGTGGCGCATGTCACAGAGAAGAGCAGTGGCCTCACGTAATAGAAAGAGCGGATGTGGCGTGCGTTACGGGTGAACCACAGACGTGGCGCACGTCATGGGTGGACGACAGGCGTGGCGCACGTCATGGGTGGACCATAGACGTGGCACACGTTACGGATGGACGACAGACGTGGCGCACGTCGCGGGTGGACCACAGACGTGGCGCAAGTCATGGGTGGACCATAGACGTGGCACATGTCACGGATGGACGACAGACGTGGCGCACGTCGCGGGTGGACCATAGACGTGGCACACGTTACGGATGGACGACAGGCGTGACGCACGTCATGGGTGGACCACAGACATGGCGCACGCCGCGGGTGGACGACAGGCGTGGCGCACGTCACGGGCAGAGCGGAGACGTGACACACGGCATGTTGGTGGAAGGGAGGGGGGGGGGGGGGGCAGAGAGTTCATTATGCAAGACAACTGGCGCACGTCTCCTAGCGGAGAAGTGGCGCACTTCTTGGATGGAACGGGCCTGTGGCTCATGATGTGGTTGCCACAGATCGGTCGCCCATGTACGGGATTGAGCACATGTTGTTGCATGCATCAGACTGGAGACAGAGTTGCGCACATCAGGCAGGGGACAGAGAAAGGAGGGGACGTCAGAACTGGAGCTCATATTAGCACACATCAGGGGCAGGTGGAGGTGGCACAATGCGAGAGGGAGCAGAGACGCGGCACGCGTCGCTGCAGTAACGCCTCTTCACACTTCACCATAATTCCCTTAACCCTCGCCCCGATTCGCCCCTTTCCATAACGTGAGCTGTTAGGAGGAGGGGTCGATGCGACCGGCCTCCCGTGCCGCTTCCAAACTAAGAACAACAGAGCCTCACGGAAAAAGATCAGTGGACTGGTCTCAACGAGGTCTTTCGATTGGTAATACATCGTACGTCTTTAAGTCAACAACTGATCCTATATTGCAAAGACAAAACGTCATTTTTTCGAAAACCACACTTTTCAGATTGCTATGCTCATACTTACGCCTCAGAGCCACGCAGCGACATGCCACTTCCACAGGCGTTTTCCTCGTTGAATTCTGTGCACATTGCGATGCATTTTTATGTGCCTTGACATGTGGGGCAGTATTAGTGTGACAGTGTCGGCCCGCCTCGCGCGGTCGGCGGACCTGTCGGCTGCCGGCCGGCGCCCGCGCCCGTGCGGCATTCCTAAAAACAGTCACTGCTCAAAAACAGGAAACGCTGAAGGCACGGCGCCTGTGTCAAAATACGCGCAATAAATGTCACATAATAAAATCTTTTAGTGCGTTTCTGAGTGACATCCTCGGAAAAAGTAAACGGGGGTCACACTGACCATCTGTCAAAACGAGCGCTAACCTCGCTTAGCGAGATTTAATGTTTTTTTCCGGTGCCAAAGAGTTGGGACTACGAAAAACTGCAAGAACAGCTTGTTTCGATCATCTGAAGATACTCGTTGCTTACAAATGGCACACAGTGAGGTAACTCAGCAAATTCGAATTCAGTCATCGCCAACTGTACTTTAAATCTTCGCCACATATGAGCTGAATTGGCGGTGTCAGCGAAATGTAAAACATTGCGTCAAAATAAATACATAAAATAGGTAAATATGCTTTTGCTCCTGGGAATCACACCGAGCCGTGGAGTACAACTATCTTAATCGGAGTAGGGCCACAGGCTGAGCGTGTCCTGACGCCAGATAACCATAGTTTGTGTAGGCTCACAGCGGCTGGGCGCGGCACAGCTCAGTCCGTCGCGTTTTTGGCGGGATAGCCTTTGATTGACCCTTTGCAATCACTACTGTGCCGCCATCCATACTCCAGTACAACAATGTGGGCTATGAATTTGCGCGTGGCCATCGTGCAGCCATTACATCGCTTGCCTAATTCACGAAATAGGAACATTCTTATTCATGGCTTAGAACCATTGCGATGTGTCCGAAAACGGCCGTTTCCATTGGCATAGGTCTTGGTGACATCTTAAGTTGAAGTCGAGAACGCCATCCGACCAGTAGGTAATGCGTTCATTGTCAGTCGTCCTTGTGCAGCTTTAGTTAAAGTCGAGAACGTCATCCGATCAGTAGATAATGCGCTCATTGTCAGCCGCCCTAGTGCAGTTTTAGTTGAAGTCGAGATCCGCATCCGACCAGTAGATAATGCGCTTGTCAGTCGCCCCCAGTGCAGTCTTAGTTGAAGCCGAGAACGTCATCCGACCAGTAGATAATGCGTTCATTGTCAGTCGCCCTAGTGCAGTCTTCGTTGAAGCCGAGAACGTCATCCGACCAGTAGATAATGCGTTCATTGTCAGTCGCCCCAGTGCAGTCTTAGTTGAAGCCGAGAACGCCACCCGACCAGTAGGATAATGCGCTCATTGTCAGTCGCCCCAGTGCAGTCTAAGTTGAGGCCGAGAACGCCATCCCACCAGTAGGTAATGCGCTCATTGTCAGTCGTCCCAGTGCAGCCTTAGTTGAAGCAGAGATCGGCACCCGAGTGCGGTCCAGACTGTGGCTGATATAGGCTGATGTGGGCTGAGTGAGTGGGCTGGGCTGTGGTCCAGTGGGCGACCGAGGTCAGTCGCCAGCCTGGTGAGGTGAGCTGATCACCTGCACAAGTGTCGACCACGTGACTGCAAGCACCCGCTACCGTGACAGTGCCAGCAACAGCCCCTGCTCACCAGACGGCTACCGGGGGGCGCTGTTCAGTTGCGACACCTCCCTTAAATGTCATATCGACCGCCATCTTATCCGTGCAGATGTTATCCAGGATTGACGTATGCTACCTTATCATTAGTATAACTGCTACCGGTCGACCGCTGGAAGCAATAACATTTAGGGGTGTACCTGTCGCCAACACGTGAATGGCGCCAACAATGGCACTTTATCTACTGGGATCGGCGCTGAAGTGGCCGACAAGCAAATAGCTTAGATCTTGAATTGAAGCATGTGCGATAGTCGACCAGGATGATCAGGTTCTACAGGACCACACCCGAATCGGCGCGGACTACTCGTGAACGCGTTCCATTTGCCTGAGGTAGTTATAACGATAAACCCACGTTGAGATAAAATTCAATCGTTTTAGTAGACAAATTTTGTACAGCCTGCACATAACGCTCAGTGTAGGAGGGCATAACGCAAATTATTGGCTAAGGGTGGGCATAGCCACATTCCAACCATAAAGCACGTTGTTCAGACAGCATTCATTTATCACGAATTTTTTATTCCGCCTCACTCGAAACACTAACGGCTAAATAATGCTTATAGACACAAGCCATTATGCAGGACATTTCCATAAGAAACCTCCGATATACGATAAGCACCGGGCTTAAAAGCATCGGTTTTAGCGGTGCGCGTTTTGTGCAATGGACAGCTGTCATCGTTAAACAGAGTGGACAGATGCACATACCCACTGCTATCTCACGGAAGAAACGGCCATTCATTGCCTATCAGGTTCGTACATGGGAAAGCGTCAGATGCGTCAACGCAGTCCACTCTTGTCAAAAGGAGAACGAAGTAACACGCGCATCCAATATCATGTGTTATGAATCATCTTCCCCTGCGATCAGCGGGGAGTCGGGGAGCGTCAGCAGGCGTCAAGTCGCGGCGCGGCAGCCAAGGCGGTGGGCCGTTAAACCATCTCCCTGCGCCACCGCGGACAGGGCCCGCTGCAAGTAATTTACAGCCTGGCTTCGACCGTAAATAGCATTCACCTGGCTTTTCGCGCCCGTCTGCCCTACAGGTCACGTCGACGGGGCCGGGTCACGGTGGGCACGTTCGGAGGGGGCCGTGTTGACGCAGCGCGGCGCCGGCGGCAGTCCTGGCGCAACAGAGACAAATGGCCGACGTTGCGCGATTCTTCACCGTCGAGCGTGGTTAGGCACGCCGCGTTTTGACAAATGATTCATGGAATGGCGGTCGGCTCGTGACATTTTGTGACTGGAGTCGGCGGGGTGCGCAGGCAGATGGATAGCTCCCCGTTCTCCGTCACAATGGCGCAGTGACTTAATGCTGTCGTTACAGCGCCATTTGGGGCCCAAGCCGGAATCCGATCGTAAATATTAATAAGTAATCTTCGTTGTCTTTAACCACTCTCACTGCTTCAGTTAAACGGCCCTTATTTTAGTCGGACAGATTGACAGGGAGTTTTATGCACTGTGTCCCAGCTGGCTAAACGGAATCACTTATCTGCAATAAAAGCGGCTCTGTTGGAGAGAATTGTTTGTGTTTCAAGTTACGGCCGGGGAAGGGCCATAATTCATTCCGCCTCCGAGCGAGGGGCGGACAGCGGAGGGGGAGGGGAGGGGGCACCCGGCCACGAGCCGGGGAGATTTGCTTCCGCCAGCTTCGGCGGACTCGCCAGCCGCCGGCTGCCGCTGGCGGCTGGGGGTGTGGAGTCGGGGTCGACGGCGGTGCGCGCGTCCCGGTGACGCCACCGTGTGGGCGGCTGCGGCGTGTTGACCGGATCGGCGACGACGCTCAGTGCGCGGGCCGTCTTCGTCGTACTTGTTGGGGATCAGTGAGGGCTGAGAAGTCGAATTCTTGGACCTTCTAGGGACTGGCCGTGTCTAGCACGGCAAAGGCAGCCGAGAATTGGGTTCGATTTTTAAGCATTTTGGGGACTGGCGATGCCAGCTAAAAACTGGCACATTTCACAGGACAAGCATTTTTTCGGAAAAAGGACTTACCCAAGGGGCGACCGATGGGCACGTGGTGGCCAAACGGTGAGCGCCTTAGGCTTACATGCGGCGGCGGGGGGGGGGGGGGGGGGGGGGGGTAGAAGGACACACAACAGAGCAGATATGCCCTGCTGTGTGCCGGGTCTGAACCCTGGCTGTGCCATGACACTTGAGCGCTGATACGGCCTCTACAGTCGCTGCTGTTTCATAAAATGGTGATAGACGACGTGCGTCGTGTGCCTTTGAAGATGCGTGTCCTGGGAGAGTGACGTGGGGTGACCAATGACCGAAGCATACAACTCTCCCCACTAGGACAGCCCTCGCTCATCGCAGCCCAGCTCATTTTTCCCAGACAGCTGGCACGGGGCTGCCGAGCGACCATGCTGCCGTACAAATGGGACACACTCCAGAATAATCCGCGATATGGAAGGACGGAGCATGCTCCAGGATAGTTCATATTCCCGTTCACGCGGGTTTGCCCTAAGGCAGGCAAGCTCCCACACAGTGGGAGACGATGCGGGGAGCCAATGCTCTCGGACCACTGAGACACGATCCCAGGATTCCCCAGTCCCGGATCGGCAGAGCGCGCCGCCACCACATCCAGTGTTCCCGATCAACGAACTCGCCACGTGACGGACACGCGGCGACATAACTGGACCACGCGGACGTGACAGGCCACGTCTCCGGACAGGTGGGGCGCGCCCCTCGGGACGGTAAGGAGGTGTGCACTGTCCGACGGGTGCCACCGCTAATGGAAAAGCCCTGTTGTGCGCGGCGCCAAGGAAGCGCACTGACAGCTCATCCATTCGGCCCGGCAATTATTATCAGATCCGGTACCGACGGATCCTTCCAGTGAGCCCCTCGGGACCCCTGGACACCAGAACACACAGCAGGGACTGCATCAGTATAGAAACGACCATGTCATGGCCTTCCTACCTAGTCCTGCGCCTCGACCGATCTACCGTGCTGCGAAGTCTAATTAATCGAGTTCGAACTGGAAGTTATCAGGGTTCCAGCGGAAGTGAATGTTTATTTACACTTTCACCCAGGAAGAATGTCCTCGGCCTCAGTATTTCCTCATTTCAAGATCAAGTTGAAACGTGTGTCACGTCTACATGGTCGTAAATTTTGACACTGACGTCGAATGCTCTAATCTTGCAATGAGTTGTTCTTGGTGTATATCTTAATAGCTCGTTTATTTGTTCAGTGTGCGGTTTCTTGAACCCATGACTACTAATGCCTGTTAATGCCTAATAATGCTTATTGATGAATACCACCGGCTGGCAGCCAGGGACCAATAAACAACAAGCATCTGATAATAAACACCCCCGGACCTATCCGTTGCGCGATCCCATCATTGCAGGGTTCCACCCCGGCTGGGCGTGTCCAGCTAAAGGTCTACTCCACCCTGTCCCCCCCCCCCCCCCAGAACCGGGCCCGGGACCATTCTGACTGACAGGAACTTAATCCTGCTCCCCGCGACTCCCGCCCACGCCGCCGCCGCCGCCGCCGCCGCCGCCGCGACTGACGGGAGGCGCCAGCCCCGCGCTCAGGCGGCCGGCGGCGGCGGCGGCGGCGGCGGCGGCAGCACCCCTGACGGACGAGCGGCGGCGGGCAGACGGGCGTCTGCCGCCGCCGCCGCCGCCGCCGCCGCCGCTGTCCGGGCAGTAGCCGCGACTGGTCCCGCCCGAACAGCCGGGGGCACTCCCGGAGGGGGGCTGGCGAGGGCTCTTCTGGGGGGGGGGGGGGTAAGCGGGGGACCCACCCTGGAAGGGGGAGTGGTCGAGGAGGAGGCCGAAGAGAGAGAGCGTGGAGAGGATACAGAGTGAATGAGGAAGGCAAGGAAAGAAAAGGAAGAAAAGGATGAAGACTGAGGGACGGACCCGGAGCACACGGACAGAGGAAGGCGGATACGAAGGGAGAGAAGATAAGGAGGTCGGAAGACTGATAGGAATGGATAGATAGACGTGGTACAAAGCCAAATGGACTGCAGAGTGGGATAGGCTTCACCGGAGACCATATTAAATGGTGAAGTGCAGCAAGACAGAGATTTGAAATCGAAAGGGGCAAATAGTACGGAACAACATGGCGTCGAGAGAGCATTTGTCGAGAGAGCATTACGCCCATACTTTATCAGTCATTTTCTGGAGAAAACGCCTAATGGGCTGGTCTTCCAAGGTTTTGCTGACGGTGGGTGTCGAAACAATTTATCTGTAAAAACGTCTCTGGCAAAACATGCACCGAACTGCGACGCCTTCAGGGTGAGCAGACCCATTAGTGGGGTGACATCTCAGTTCACGTAATGGGTGGGGTCCTGGCCAGTGATGGCGGGTTGCTACTTTGTCAACAGTGTACGGCCGTTCTACTTTTCGATAATCACAACGCAGGAGAGCAAACCTCCTTTTTGGCATGCATTCCCTGCCTTCAGACTTCTGAACTGAAGGCAGGCAGTTTCACTTCACTTCACTTCACTACTTCTGGTATAGAAGAGGCGAGGACTGTGGTAAGTCCATTCTAGGACATCAAAGGGAGGGGAGAAATCCCGAACTCGTAAGGTGAGGAGCCCTTGATGGAGCAGTTGCTCAAGAAGACGCCGAAAAGACATCACTCAGCGGACAACATGTCACAAAGGTGGTAATGCATACAGGAATTATGGATGGACCCCAGACACAGCACTAACGAGACGCTGAAGTAGGCAAACCGGACAGAGCGGTACCCATTAAGGTGCTGAGAAGCAACGCTGGACGGAGCTGGACACAGTACTAACGAGGTGCTGAAGTAGGCAAACCGGACAGAGCGGTACTCCCGAGGTGCTGAGACAGGCACACCGGACAGAGCGGCACTCACGAAGGTGCTGAAGTAGGAGGAGTCGACGCCGATGCTGGGGTAGGGGTTCTGCTCGCCGCTGGGGTAGCTGGTGCTGTAGTGCAGCGTCGAGCCGGTGCTGAGGCGCGGGTAGGAGTTGAGCGCGGCCAGCCGGCTCGGGTCGTACTGGCACGAGCAGACGGCCTGGCCGGTCACGGGGTCGGTGCCCACCACCCGGCCCGTCTCGCAGCACGACGTGCCGGCCGTGCTCGGCGTGCTCGGCTGGCCCGGCATCAGCAGCTGGCGGAGGAGGACACGCTCCGGTCAGTATGGCTCACGGGTGAGCACAGGGCAGCTTGGAGCACAGGGTTCAGGCTAACTTGGGGCACATGGTTTAGGTTAGGTTGGGGAACATGGTTCATGTAAGCTTGGGGCACATGGTTTAGGTTACCTTGTGACACATGATTCGGGTTAACTTGGGGCACATGGTTCATATAAGTTTGGGGCGCATGGCTCGTGTTAGCTTGGGACGCAGGGTTCAAGTTAACGTGGGGCGCATGATTTAGGTTAGCTTTGAGCACATGATTCATGTTAGGTTGGGGCACATGATTCAGGTTAACTTGGGGCACATGGTTCATGTTAGCTTGGGGTACATGGCTCAGGTAAGCTTGGGGCACATGGCTCAGGTTAACTTAGGGCACAGGTTTCAGGCTAGCTTGTGGCACCGGATTCAGGTTAAACTGGGGCACATGATTCAGGTTAACCTGGGGCACATGGTTCAGGCTAGCTTGGGGCACATGGCTCACGTGAGCACGAGTAACGTGATGCCACGCAGGTCAGAGGAGATCTCAGAAATCAGCTGGGGCCACAGGTGGCAGTTGAGGTCCCAGGAATCAGGTCACCAGAGGTCGCAGTGCTCAGGTCAGCAGATGTTGTCCAGAAGTCACTGTAGCTTTCCAAAATGGATCTAAGAAGGTGTTCAGGAGGTAAACATAACTGTATGCTACCAAGATCCTTGCTCTCTGGTCGCCGAGGCACGTGCAGTTCGTTGGCGGCCAATCTATCGCCGTTTGATCCCAAACGCCGACCTTTGACCTGCCCGGTCTATTTGCCAAGCCCGAGGCGCCTAGATGCTGGGTTGACCGCCGCCCTGTTCGATGCTGATTGGCCGATCTTGAGGAAGGTTAGGGGCAGCAGGCAGTGAGCCCCAAGCTGGGGGGGGGGGGGGGGGGGGCGATGGCATGAAAATGTTGGCATGTCTGCTTCCCAAGCGGCCGAATGTTTCAACACTGGGTCCCTAGAGATCACAAAGGTCATCTGATGTTAAATAGGTCAACTAAGGCTGAGGTCACGCAAGGCCGCGGTGCCAGATAAAGTGACAAAGATCAGCTGAGGAGGTCACACGAGTAAGCTTAGAGCACGTAGGTTGGTAGGGCTCGTGTGGGTCAACTGAGGTCATAGTGATGCACTGGGACAACTGGTCCACTGTGTTCATGCGTTTCAGTCCGGCTGATGTCACGCTGGTCGTGTGAACTACCGCCGCACTGTGCAAGTCAAACGAGGTCAAGACGGGTCATCTGGTCGGATCAGGTCGGGGTCACGCCGAAGACATCTGGTCGTCACCGGACGCCGGAGTGCGCCGTGGAAGGTTGGGGGAACCACGCAGGGTAAAAGGCAAAGACGCGCGCAAAATGTCCCGAACAAGCCCGCCAAATGTCACACCGGTACACCACTGGGATAGCTTCGCCCCATGCAGCTAGACGAGTAAGCCATCCGAGTCGAAGGAATGCACCACAGAGTTACTGCCCTGGCCACTGAATACACAAATGCCTATTACCTGTGCTGCACACGGTATTAATCGATGCACGACGGACGAGCAGCTGCAAATGAACATTATGCAATGCGCAGATTGCATTACAACTGGCAACTACCACACACTTCGTCACTGTACCCGAAGACTGATTTGGCATGCAGTACAGACATTTATTGGTTCGCACTACGTTGATAAAGGGACACTGCGCAAATGGAGGGTTGCCGTATTGTACTTCTACGAAGCAGGTACGTTAAGCACTTACCAAAATGAACTTGCATTGTCATGAGCTCAACGTCATCATACTGACCACCTAGCTTTAGATGGCGATGAGGATGCAAACGGAAGCCAGGCAAGGATGCGGCGATAGGCGTGCGTGGCTCGGAGGGTGGAAAGCTCTTTACAGCTGTGAACAACGTCTCCACCTAAGCTACGTTTGAGCTGGCGACGGGCCAGCGCCGGACGTCGTCCAGCGAGGGGCGCACGTCGGGTGGGAGAGCGCTGGTCAAAGCGGCTCCCGCCCGTCCCTCGCGCCGCCCGCCTGACGGTGGTCCGCTGGTCGAGCGGTGGCCAGCGGCTCCCGCCCGCCCCTCGCGCCGCCCGCCTGGCGGTGGTCCGGTGGTCGAGCGGTGACCAGCGGCTCCCGCCCGCCCCTCGCGCCGCCCGCCTGGCGGTGGTCCGCTGGGAGGCGGGCTTCCTGCTGCGCTCCGGTCCGGGCCTCTGTTCCAAGCGTGCCTACGCACCGCATCTCCGACCCCCCCCCCCCCCCGCCGTTGTTCGCCCGTTGTCCGGCCAGCCCGGTGTTGTCCCCGCGGACACGGTGCGCAGCTCGCCCGTCCACCCAGGATGAGGCCAAAACGCTCGCATCGCATCTGACGCGGAATGTTGTGACAACGTGCAGCCCGGCTTCCGCAAGCAGATACGGTGCGGTTCCCCGGAACGCCACTGCAGCGGTCACGGCTGGCGGATTGCAGGGCGATGCAAACGCTGCCGGGCGGGTTTCCTGTGTCGTTTTGATTGCAAGGACGAGGTAAATAATGAATGCAATTCCTAATGAAAAACGAAGTTGTAAGCCGAAGTAGGCGCGTGATAAGGCGCGGCTATGCTGCAGCCGATCGGTGCCATGTTTTCGAGCACAACATGACGTTTTGTCGGAGCTTGACCCGATATCCGCCGCCTACGCCTATGACTGCGGTCGTGAATGGTCCGTTGCCTTGCTGGATGGGAAGCACGCGAGCGGATGGGGTGTGGGGCACCGTAGGCGAACTGTCAGGACCAGCCGTTCCAATCTTTGCGATGTCCGGTCACCTTAACGTGATGCGTGAAGTCAACGTGTGACGACAGCGGCTGGGCAGGTATTGCAATGCTTTGGAAAGTTTATTATAATTTTTTCTGATCGCGGCCACAGCTCATATTTTTAAGCAGCGCCTATACGAGCCAGGTTGTGAGTCGGACACAGTTGTAACGTGTCGTGTCAGCGGTTTGTGATCGCACAACAATGTGCCACATGTTCTAGTTTGTAAAATAGCCAGCACACATGTTTGAACAACGATTGTAAAAACGTGGATGCTAATATTCATGTATACTTGATATCCTGTCAGCCATGTGAGGTCTCGCTGAAATGTGAAAAGCATGGCATGCATCCCAAAGCAAGTAAAAGTTTCATCATCAATATTGATCGTTCTTCCAGCGCTTTGGAGCCAGAAACGATGCCTGGACACGATCAAAAGCATAACACAGTCTGACATTTACAGCTTGTCCATTACAACATCTGTATCACCGACGTCTTTGGCGATATGGCCACAGACCCTGAGGCACGTTCAGCTTCGTAACTTAGCCTCAGTTCAACATTGGGCCCGGCAAAAGCTCTGACTCACGATCTCAGTCTGGTACCAAACTTTTCACCCACGTGGTGGGAAACGATGCGAAGTTGACAATTTCCAGGGGCATTCGAGCTCGAAGTAATCGCTTGATCAAGGCATGTAACAATTTGCGCCATTTCTACACTAGATCACCTACTCACGCGATGCTTAGAATGTCTATAAATAAAGTAGCGACACCGGCATCAGCTGGCAGGGTTGTGCTGTGGCCTTTGCTTTGCATCCATGAGGTCAAAGTCTCTCAGTGACACCAACGGCATCGGACAACTTGTATCATGTTATTTGAATGCATCGTTAAAGTAATTGTATCTTCTCGACTTCAATTGATGCGTTCTTATTCCAAAGGACTCCTGAATAACAGTCCCAAAGTAACATATTTTCTCAAAACATGATCGAAAAGATAATTCGTGATGTGAATGCCTTCCATATTACCTAATGCGCCACAATTGCCATCGTAATTGATGGGAAGATAATAAATACACGCTTTAGTGATCGTTCGCAGCTTTGTTTTGATGCTTCAGTTTCCACAATTATCTTTGTTCCCTGTGGCAGTTCAAGAGCTCACGTTTTCCTTTCACATTGGTGGGTAAAACCGGGGGTAGAACCGGTTATCTGCAGCATGCTGAGAGTTTCGGGTTCCTAACACACGCCTCCCCTACAATTTCCCTCGTTGCGATGAGCTTGGTGAGCGACCGTAAATCATAACCTCTCAATAAGGGTCAACTCATCCATGGACATCGATGCCATCAGCTAATTTGTTGATACATTCTGATGCCCGTGATGCCCATGAGACATACTCTGTTTATGAATGCAGGTACATATTGGATAGCGCGCAGAGTCCCAACTCGCTTTGCCAGTGGTGGCTGAGGGCGTGGGTAGTGCTCCGTCCTGTTGTTTGTCCTCATCTGGGTGAGCTTTGATACCATTCTCAGATCATGGCATTCGCCATCCTGCATTGCCCTTTGCTGAGGTGATAACGAAAAATATAAATGCTTGTTTTCATACCTGACAATATTTTTATGTTCTGCATAGCCCGTTCGTTGGGTTTGTGTGTCATTGGGTTTCTACGACGCACTCAGCTGCTGAGGCTATAAGGCGTCGCCTGCCTCTCACTCTGGCAGGAAGGGCGGGCATCGCGGGGAGCCGAACCCCGTACCTCTGGTTTCCCAGACGCGCAGTGGTTAACGCAGACGCGCTAACCGTACACTACCGGCACCCCTACGTTCTTTGGGTTCAGAGCTGAAACTGGAGTGTAGTGTTATTCGCATTTCCCAGTAAGTAGTCTATTTGGGCTGGTATGTACGGATCTGGGTTCTACACTTGGCAATTATGCCTGCCTGGCTGCCTCTGGAACTCGCACATGTTGGCTGGTTTGTGCACATCGCTAGCGCCAGTTTGCATTCACGTGTGCGACTAGCGCCAGTTTGCATTCACGTGTGCGACTAGCGCCAGTTTGCATTCGCGTGTGCGACTAACACCAGTGCGACTAACGCCAATTTGTATTCATGTGTGCGACCTATGGTTTGTGAATCAGTGGAGCCCGGGAATTTCTCTAGAGCTAGAGGAGACATCTCCGCTGCCTGTTGCCAACCACTGTGTTCTGGGGATCAGTGGTTGGCACCGGGAATTCTCACAGACGGTATTCGCGCCGAGCCGTGAGGCGCTGCCTCACGTGCTGGTGCTGGTGCCGGTGCTGCTGTGATAATCAGATCCGGAACGTGTGGCACCGTTGACAAATAGCAACGCCTTAGCTCGTCGATGCTGGTTAATTAACTGTACTACTGTACAAATAATTGCTGGGTCTGAGAACGACGAACGCATTTAACAATCGCACAGACAGTGGCTTGAACCTGGATTTTCCTGTGTTCTCACATTATCAGTGTTTTGTTTGTTACAGCTATTGTGTTCGAAGAGCGGAACGCGGTATCCCAAACTGAAATGTTGTTCATTTGCAGCAACCCAATTTTGCGCGTCACGCCATACCCAGAAATGAATTTTGAGTGCCTTCCTCCATTTTCTCTAGAAATATTGAAAGGGAAACGCGCTAATCCTTTGCAGGGATTGACGCCGCACGGTATTTCCCGGAGGCGTTGTAATCATGAGGAGCCACTTCATTAATCCTATGACGGCGGCTCAGCCGAGAAGCCCGATCCGCTAGCGAGTACACACGCTTGAAACTCGAATGATTTGCAGCCAATCACGGAAGCGCCTGTGGTCACGCTGCGGTACGAGCGAAGGAAACCGTGCTAGCTGGCCGATCTGGTCCGGTCTGGCCGATGCTTTTTCAGCCGGTTGACCGGGTGGGCCGGCACTTCCGTCGGCTCGATTCGTCTAAGTTTCAATGTTTGTGTGATGCGGCAATCCTCGAAAAGTAATGAAGCACTCTATTTGCAGGGAGGGGATGCTAATACGGATTATAAGCCGATATTGTCAGCATAAGCGGCGAACACGATGAGCCTCTTAGCCAGGCACGAGTGCCGCGTGAAGCCCGCCGCACGCGTGTCGAGCCGGCTCACCTGCGAAGCAGCCGTCACGTAGGGGTAACCGAACTGGGTGTAGGCCGACATGGCGCCGATGGCGTGCCGCCTCAGGTCAGAGTAAGTCAGGCCGCTCCGTGGCCGGGTCACGTGACGAGGCCGCGGGTCGGCCGCGGCGGTGCGGCGCCGGTCGTTCGGTCACACAGCACGCGCCCCTCTCTCGCTCCGCGCAGCACGGCAACTGGCCGCCGCCGGCCGCCGGCGCGCCGAGCGTCATCAGTGGGCGGAGCCTCACCAGCCGCCGACCAATCAGCGGGCGCGCCGGCCCCGGCTCCGCCCACAGCCATTGTGGCCGACGGGAGAATTAGCCACGGTATTTGCTGACTGGCTTGCTGGCCACACCTCGACTTGGCGAAGAAAAATAGCAAGGAATCTGAAGCGGAATTTTACAGACGTTAGTTTAGTGGTGAACAAGAGAAATATGGGCTTGGGGGCGATTTATCCTGTTTTCCAACCAGGAATCATGTAGGACGTAATGACACAAATTGTGAGAATGCTGTTAACCACTGGGAAAATTAGCGTAGATGGATCGGGGTGAAGCTTTGAAGTGAGCACACACGTGCACATTACAGCCTACGTAATTGTTATCACCCCGTGTAGATACCAGACTAGGGCGAGAACCGAAGTTGCACTTATGCCACATTAATTAAACCGTGATTCATGTTTAGCATAGTTCAGCTAAGCCTCCGGGGCTGAGAATATATGGCAAAGCTTTGTCCATAATTGCGCCATATAGCGCATCCACCCACTTGTGCACATCTTATGGACGTAGATTGTGCTAGCAGTTTGCATTTCTAAAAGTCAATTCAACATTAAATATCGCTCATCAGGAGCATCACTATTCACCTTGCTTACCACGTCACATAAAAAGAACACACGACATATGCAAGCTTAGTTCAAAAAGGAAAGCTGAAACAAAATTTTCGCGCATGGTAATTACGTATCGTTGTGCCAGCGGCGCTTATAAGAATACGACTGCGCATAGAGCGTCACTGCCGTGTGACAATGGGGAAGGATGAGAGGGGAATTGATCTCCTTTCTTGCTGTTCCAATCCGTGGAAAACTGAACCTTCTAGACAGGTTCAACCAACCATCGCGGTGAAGTAGCCTATCCGACTTCGCAAAGTAAAATCAAATGTGGCAGAAGTCACATTTAAAAAACATTCAGGTGCTTCCCTTTTTAAGTCAACGTACTGTTGAATTCTACATTGGGTTGATGCATAATAATTCTTGGAAGTTGGACGAAAGGATGTAGCTTCTAAGAGTTCGCAACAGCTGTATTAGTTGCTCAGCGACGCACCATTGCTGCCATCTTCTAACGCAACAGCAAACCTTATTATACAGCGACGCATTATTGCTGCGATCTTCTAACGCTGACAGCAAACCTTATTATACAGCGACGCACCATTGCTGCGATCTTCTAACGCTGACAGCAAACCTTATTATACAGCGACGCACCATTGCTGCGATCTTCTAACGCTGACAGCAAACCTTATTATACAGCGACGCACCATTGCTGCGATCTTCTAACGCTGACAGCAAACCTTATTATACAGCGACGCACCATTGCTGCGATCTTCTAACGCTGACAGCAAACCTTATTATACAGCGCATTGGCACGATGTCAGAAGTTCCTTTTAACGGCTTACTCACTACTGTGTTCATACCTTCTGGAAACACGCCTCTCTACTTATTCACTGTAGCTTCATGTACAAAATAAAAACAATAGCAGACTTTTGACATGATGACTGCCAGTTTTATTGCGGGTATAAGTGATAAGCTGTCGTAAGCGTTTTAAATAAAGGTATGACCAATGGCTCGATTTCTCGCAGGACTTTCGGACTGCGTCACATTTGCCCCGCGACGTTGGTCTTGGGTATTAGTAAGAGCACACGCACATGCACTTTCTTACTGGGCATGGATGTAACGGGGCGGTCGATGGAGATAGCACTTTCAGCTCATAAATGTGTAGCTGGTGCCCAAGCGGCGTGATGGCACAAAACATTATATGCTCTGCGGCCGATAACACATATTAAAAGGTGCAGCGGTTTGAAACCGGAAGAAGATCATGTAGCCTTAGAGAAGCAATCGCATAAGGCAGGGGTAGGCTTTCTTATTCAGATGCAGGGGGAGGGACTGCAGTCAGTACGTTGAGAAGAATGTGAGCGAAGCCCGGGGAAGAACCCGCCTTTGCGTATGTTGGGATAAGTTGAGCCATTTTCCCTGCTCATCTCCCCACCTTATTTAACAAAATTGCACCCCGACGTGTTAGTCCCGATTCACATTGACAATATATCAAACGTTTGTGAGCGAATACAAGACGATTACGAATGCACAGGTGCATCACTGCGGCATGGTTATGGTGCGGCGCTATCTCTAAACAGCGAAGCATATGCGCAAATTGCGTCAAGTCGTACTAGACACTCATAACATCGTGTACTCAATGTGCATACTTACCCGACCTGCCCAGCTAGAGTATGCAGGTGACACCCATGTTCGCAACGTCTGCTACTAAAACCACGAGAGGCTATCCCACCAGCATTGTGTTCAGATTACCCAAACAATGCAGTTTGTAACAATCTTAAAATTTCAGACTACAGGAAATTAAGGTTACACAAGCTGTTGAAAATCAGACCAGTAGTCTTATACTTATCCAACTCAATGTATAAAAACTCGCTATCCCAAGCTTCGAGGCAAGCATTGCACGTGACTCTGCAGCGGCGGCCAAACTGCGGCGCACTGTGTGCCCCTGGGTCTTGGCCACATCGGCGGTCGGATGCTACAATACCACCTACAAGGAGATAATACCAGTTTTACCCGTCGGCAGTTTCGTGCAGCGGACCTGCTACATGCCGAGTCCATTCCTGTTTCTGCTGACATTTGGAGATATCGCGTCTCTCGAGTCGTTCGGAGGACCCAGTGAATTAACTGGGGCCCTGTGGATGTCCTAAAAATCTAACGTCAAGAGATCGGTTTCAAGGAACAACGACTTCAGCTAAGTACGCACATCCTAGAAAACTGCGATACCACGTCTCGATTGGCAATCTTTTTTCTAGCCATTCGCCGATTTGTGCTGCGCTGCTGCTGCGAAATTCCATTTTTAACGTGGAACCTAAAGCTGGTTTATGCCATATTGTGCTACAAATAACATGACGACTTCAAGACATCGGTCCGCGCGGCCCTGAGCTAAACAAAACGATTGCAAGTCGCATAGCTCCACTCCCCAGCATGGGTGAGAGCAGAAGCCTATACTTATCGTTAACTCTTTCTCACCGTTGGGGAAAATAGCGTTGATAAGCCCTTTTGTGGTCTCCCCATTACTTTAGGAGATACTTAAGAAAGGCACATGCACGACATGCAAGTCGGTAAGAACCAGCTGGAAGACCTGCTTTACTTGGCTAAAATTGGGGACCAGAATGACACAAATCATCCCATTATTCCGCGTCCTACTTTAACCATGACCCTTCCAGACTACGAGGGCGACCTAGCATCGGCTCACGCGCGTCGTCTTGTAGCCTCGCGCCAGTCGCATTCCATCCCCCATCGTCCAAATGCACCGTCACAGTGCCCGCCGCCTGCGAAACCCCCGTAGCGCGCTCCATTCGAGCGGCCCGTCACGGTCCGCGCAGATGGGCGGCGCCGGCGGTGGGCTCCCGCTTGCAGGAAATTCGCTCCATCAGCTAATGCTCATCGATCTGCGCTCGTGTCGGAGCAAAGCCACGATTAATTATCTCGATGCGGGGCAGGACTGCGGTGTGATGTTTATTCACGAGCCCGGCGGCGCCAGGGGATGCGGAGTGGCAGAGCCGCGGCAATCCGCGCCGCGCACAGCGTTCCTGCTCGGGGTCTGGCTGGACGAAAACGGTTAAGCTGTTTGACTTTAAATTTTCAATGCGGTTGGTTGTGATATTCATTAGCTTTCCCCAACTCCCAGAAATGTCACGAGGTACGAACTGTAGTCCATAACGTGCGTTTTAGCAGCTGATGTCGGGGGTCTATTGACACGATGGTGTTCACATCTCACGGTGTCCTGCGTCACGAACAGTCACGGCGATGACAGTGGAGGGTACCGAAACGCGGCTGTTGGCAAGTCTCGAACCCATACCCTCACGGTTCCAAGCTAAGCAGCACGTACATCCGTGAAGAAATGCGTGTTTAAGTGTTGGAAATTCGTTTAAAATGACCAGTCCGATTGGAGCAGTTTGTAAATTTGATGCGACGACTCAGTTGTGTCGGCATTTCCACCTATCCTCTTCAGCGGCGAGACGTGAGTGCTAGTTTGGATGCATAATTACTTTGTGACGTCACTTTTCCTGCATATCCAACTCGACAGGTGCAACAATATTTCATACTTCTACGGATATGGAGTGTTATCATAGGGTTTCTTGTAGCATTGACGGGCTGTACTTCTCTTTGTGGGAAAAGCGTTCATTGCTGTTCTCACCGGAGCAGAATTTTCTACTGGCTCCATAAAAGCTGGCTGAAAGCTATAACAGATGCAAAAAATTGTTTTCGACGCTTGTCATCCTTTTATCTAGCCTCTTCCGACCAATACATGAAGCTCAATTGCTGATGTTTAGCGTTTTCATATCAGCTTGCGCCAGATTTGTCTGGGCAAACGTGAGAGAACATTCCGTGTCGCGTACTCCCGCCGACAGCGGGGGTCCATGGCCCATAGGATTGTCTTGATTCTGATATGCCATACATCTATCATCTTTCATTGTTGCTTTTCTGTCAAGCAACAGCCAACAAAGGCGCCGAAATTTTGAGTATTTTACTTTCAGACGTGCACCCTACAGTTCTATACCCTTACTGGTAAGGATAATTCGAACCTTTTCAAGCCTTTGCACTTTCCGCTGAGGACAATCCTCGAACTCGCTGTGATTATGAGACACGGAAGAATGAACTGTCGGGTGCTCGTGAATTTGTAGCCTCTCTCAAATATCGGAAGCGTTGGGAACGTCTCGATCCAAGGCAGGGTCTTCCCCACGCTACGCCAAATACTGCGTACCGCCTATAACTTAATAAGATATCTTGTGTGACGACCAGATCACGGAAGGTTTCATTTTGAATTCCTCATGCATGTACGCCGCCTTATCAGTGAATCATCCAACAATGGTACCTTTTCTTCCCAGCCAATGGCACGTTTTCAC